TCTTCCGTTTGACCACTCAAGTGCGAGAGAAAATTGAGAACTCGTGTCTAGATACGCTGTTTGCGTTTTTGGATGGAGCCGCTCTGTAAGTCACGACATCGTGCTTGCAAGAGAACGTATGCATGGATCATGGGCGATAATTTTCTCCCGCTCGTTTCAGACAAATTGCTGACATTCCGTTGTGCTGTCTACCTCTGAACTGCTCTCTTGACTTGTTGATGCTTTCCCTCTGCGGTGTTGTTGTTGCCGCGCGTTGTTTTTGTCAAGGGTTTCGACAAGAGAGGGTTCGTTTGGTACACCAACTTCGAGAGCCGCAAGTCTCAGGAGACGTCGCACAATCCTTTCGGTGCGTTGTCGTTCTGGTGGAGCGAGGTTCAGCGGGCTGTACGCATCGAGGGGGTGATGACGAAGGTGAGGTTCGATTATCCGATAATTTATTCTCAGCGAACGCATTTTTTTTTTTTTTTCATCAAACGCAGAATTTTTTGCCAAGAAAGATAACAACGAAACGCGCACCCACCCTCGCTGGGTACACATCAGTCAAAAGATGCATTTCGATTGACACGGGGAAGGGTGCTGTGCGTTGGGTGTTGTTGTCGCCGTGCTTCCGAGCGTATGCATAGCATGATTTATTTATATTCTTTGTATTTTCGTGGTTCGCAACTTCCATCTGGTAAAAACTCTCCTATCAAAGCGAGTACTTTCCCCTTGAGTCGTCGTCCATGCCCCTTTCCAGGGACAGTCGCTAACTTGGAGCGTTGTTGCAAAATATCTGTATCTCGGACGCGCGTATATATATGCGACAAAGCTGGCGACTTTCTTGCACTTTATGCGCCGAACGCCGAAGCTGGCGACTTTCTTGCACTCGCCAGTTCAGCAGTTTTTTGGGTCGTGGTTGGAGGTATGTAGACAAGACCCCAAAACGACTAGCAGGTTTCCAGCCCTCAGACTCCTGTACACCACGGCGCTAGGCCTCACCAGGCTCTACCCACCCCTACACCCTAACCCGCACCCAAACCCGCACCCTAACCCTAAGCTAGGCTGTTGTGCAATGGATAGGCTATAGGTTAGGTCGCTGTACCGATCTACTGGAGCGCGCTTCGCGCTCGCCAGCTCTGGCATACATGCGACGTTGTAAAACAAGCCCGCCCCTCGGTGTTTGCCATCGGGATTGGGTTTTCGTCGCTTGGCAACGACGTTGTAAAACAAGCCCGCCCCTCGGTGTTTGCCATCGGGATTGGGTTTTCGTCGCTTGGCAACGACGTTGTAAAATAAACCAATTCACTTGGTGAACTCGGCAACCAGGTTACCGTTTTTGTTCTTTTGGTTTTTTTTTTTGCGGCAACCATAATGGTGGTCGAGTAGATCATGTTGTGTGGGGTAGAGAACCCTCACTCCGCGCAAGGGGGTTGATCGCACCACGTTGTGTTAACATGGTCAAGCACCCCCGAGGCAGTTACACAGTGCTTACAACTGTCTCTGGAACGTGAAAGCACCAGAAAATAAATTAATTCATATGCAGCTGTCATTCGTACGCAAGGAAGTACGCACAAAGTGCCGAACACCCTTAGCAGGATGCAGCGCACCCTTCATGCGACTCGCCGAATATCTCACGGCGCTTCGCGCTTGGTGATGTGAGAGCCTGGTCCGGTGAGAACNCCCCCCCCCCCCCCCACAATGCCCCGTCCTCTCGAGGGCGCGTGGTCACTGGGCTAACGAGTAAAAGGCATGAAAATGAGAACGTCCCTGACGGCCCCCCCGATGCATGTAATTTATGGAATTAATGGCTTTTGGCCTTGCAGGTGACGGATCAGGAGAGCACGGAGTACTTCAAGAGTCGCCCCCGCGGGAGTCAGGTCGGCGCGTGGGCGCTGCACCAGAGCCGGCCGGTGGAAAGCCGCGGGTCTCTCGAGGCAAACGTTAAGGACGTGCAGGTGTGTCATGGTGGCGATGTAGAAGCAAACATTTCTGTAGCCTTTGCTAGGTTGTATGTATTATTTGTTGGTTTTGTAGGATACGAACCCCCCCCCCCCCC